GGTATGAGACGATAAGACCAAATCAATAATCGAGAATCGACGAATAATATCAAGATGAAAAAAGTATGACAAATGTAAGTTCTCTGTTTGGATTGGATCGTTTTACCTTGGGAGTACATGTTCATTGGTGATCTTTATATCAGTCTCTATTTCGTTGCTTATGCTTAGACAAAGATTCTTCATTTTCAGGTAAGCTGTCGAGATTGTGACGGAATCCAAAAGAAAACCTTCGGAGTTGACATACTCATCGGTCTCAACCATGTGCTTCCGACACCTCTTCTTTGCTGCCGTCTGCAGTAGGTTTCCATTAGCCAAGAAAATCATGAGCATTCTTCAGATATTATAAAACCAAAGGGCAGAGCCAGGCGTATAATTTAAATCGACATTTTAAAGGTCTAAGTGGTAGACTTTCAAATAGTAGGAGAACGTTGAAGATTGTTGGGAAAGCCTACCTGAAGGTAATTCTTTAAAATTTCTTGTGCTTCAGGAGACAATATATCATGAAGGAGACTAAAAACCTGAACAGCAGGAGAAAGTGCTGTTGATGCAGATTCTTGCACCGCACCAGAAATGTCCGCCAACCCTGTAGGGCAGTTTTCATCTAAGGACTTGTAGTTCTCAAAAACACTTGCCAAGAGTTTTTCAATCTCTATTTCACAATCCATTAAGATACTTTTCTGCAAGAATTGAATAAGTCGTCACTAACTAGCCCTGTGGAGCCATGAAGACAGTTAAACAAGCATAAATATGATAACTCGAATCCAAGTCTATGATTTTGAAGAGATGTCATCAGATTATCAATTTGCAAAAGAAGGGGGATTCACCTCCTGCCTGGTCAAAATCTTCTCACTTCGAGCCCTTAGGATAGGCACAAGTAACTCATGCACAATTTGTAAGCAAGTTTTTGTTGGAGTTGCGACATTCATTACATGAGAAAGATATCTGAAAAGTTTCGTGAAATACCAGAAGATTTATAAAAGATACAAGACATTCTAACTAGATAATTAATGAGTACCTCAACTTGGTATATGAATCGGAAACTCCATAATATTCTGCAAATTCGCTTAACAGCCATTTCCAGGATTCATTTAGTCTTAAGTTTTGAGAATGAAATTTTTGGGCTCGTGCAGCAGCTTCTAGTAGCAAATCGTATGCTAGTGTCTCCACAACAGGTGCACTCTGTAACAGGAAAAACACGCAAAACATTAGCAGGCGTATTATCTCACAGAATAAAACATAGTTAATCTGAGGGTTGTTGGAGAAAGAACAGACCTTTATGTGATAGTCTTCATCGGATGTGGTTGTGCTACCAGTAAAGAGCTGGATCTTGCCAACACATTGTTCACCATGGTTTATTGGCCACCATCTAACATTTTCGTTCTAAACAAATGTAGAGTACTCTTCAAATATCAAATTTCCCAAAGCACTATAACATATTCTTAAAACAAAATGAAAAATATCTAACTCGGGGTGGACACAGAAAGGTATATTTACCGGATTGTCAGTACAGGATGTTATAGGAATCACTGCTTTTCCTTGAACTGATTTCTTTTTATCTTGAACTTCTATCAGAAGAGTGTCGCCTTCGGACTCGGGAAAGCTGTAGGAGAAGTTGTGAGTAAAAATCTCTGTAATCGGATACAAATATAAAACCACATTTTGGAACTTTCATGAGATTTTCAATCATTCCAACACTTTGGCATGGTTAGTAAATTCAAAATTTCTCAAACCACCAGTTGCAGACATATTTTGTTAAAATCTATCCCAGCTCTAGCACACACATATATTGATCTTCAAGAGAAAGCAAAGGGCTTACAAGACATGGTAACTTCCAGTTCCTGGTTGCAAACAAACAGAAGATCCTTGTTCAGTTTGAACTCCTTCTGCTGTGCTCTTCATTTGAAGGTAGCAGGAGAATTGTTCTGCAGGTAGAATCATAAGAATAAGTTGTATCATCTCCTATCAATAGAGGCTATGTAACAACTGTTATCTTCCATTGTAAACTGTGGACCAATATAAGGCACAAATTAAACGGCCTAGGCAAATTAAATTCACAACCAAAGATCATGCAAATGGATGAATATATATGTTTAGTTTTTGATGTAACAAAATCAAACCTTCTGAAACTGCTGAAAGGGTAGCCAGTTTAATAGAATTCATCCCAGTCTTCACAAGTGATGAAACTTGTCGGCAATACTCTGCCCCCATTTGCATGTTCATTAAACTCCGCACTGAATCTATGCCTCTAAGTTTGCGTTGTGGTATCAATCGAAGTCTCTTTACTAGAACAATAAAAAATAGAAGAGGTATAAATATCTGATTCATGTTAGGAAGCTGCAAAACTTATTTCCGTATTCAAGTCTTAGCTCATCAGAAAAATATTACTTTACCTTCCACCCTTAATTTTCTGACCATGTTTTTTTTCTTCAAGGATGTCTTTTGCTCTGCTTTCACACTTTTGTTTTCTTGGTTTGATCGTACACCCCGAGGTTGCAAAAGAAATGTATGCAAACTAAAACAAGGCGTAGACAAGGGACTGGTTCAATAACTGAATGTAAGATCAACATTGTATCTCATAAACCAAAGAGAAACACCTGTCCTACCCAAATGCACCTCGAAGAAGACGGCACTCATCACGCAGAAACTCAGGTGCCTCAGAAGAACCCCTTGACCATGCATACAAACATAGTCTTATGCAAGCGTCATACGCAAGAAGACTTTGCCAAGCATATTGACCACTGCCGTTGGAAAACGAAATCGATAACATTTTTGTAAGCCACAATAAAATTCAGAATTAGAAAAATTCTGAAGAAAATTAAGTAGTTAACCTGATACTTTGGCAATCTAATTCATCCGAGTTGATTTCCTGATGTTCACCAGTTTTAGTGTCCATCACACTGCACCAAACCAGGGGTAAACACATCAAGAGTGGTCCGCAGAACAAAATACAAAGCTCGTTGAAATCGGGATAGTTGTGGAAATACCTTTCCCCAGGTTGTGCATCTCCATACAAATGTGAAGTGCAATCAGCAGCTATGTTCTCTACTCTACAAATCTCGTCCTCAATTTCCTTTTCTATTCCCAAGCTGCTATCTTGTTCTAGTCCAGTTTCCATAATAGGTGGTGCGCTTGGGGTTCCTATATCTTCCATGTCTCCATACATGCTTCCCCAATGAGAAACCGAACCCTATGACAAAAATTTATTGCTAAATTTAGCTTAGAGCTGGTGATAATCATTCAAAATTGAATTGTCTACCTTGGAACTCAAAGTATGAGCTGGTTCCTCGAGATGATAGGTAGCTGGAGTTGAATTCTTCAGGGCGAATTTCCGGAGCCCTAATTCACAGTCCGTGTTCCCAAATGGAACTTGGATTCTCAGATTCTTATCTTTGAGCATACCTCTGTTTAATTTCGAGCAGGACTTATTATGCCCAAACAATTCCTCTTCATCGTAAGGTCTTCCAACTGCTATCACCTCCTCCTCCTCGTCATCTTGAAGATCGTAATCGGAGAAGAATTCGTTGCCGACAGAAGCAATACTCATGTCATCTTCTTCTTTGTTTTCCTCGTCGGAATCATCATCATCACGGTGACGACTTCTGGGAGATAGGAGCATATGAGCCACTAATAGGCCGGAGTTCGACTTGGGAGATGGTGAGAAGGTAGCTGGAGAAAGATTCTCGGAGAGAGGAGATCTGAGTCGAGGTTTGGAAGATCCTTTTCGGATACATGTCATGACGTTCTCCTCTACTTTTTGGGCCAACATCTTCAGAGAGAAGGCGTGGGCAATTGAGAGAGATCAGAATTGTGCAGCTGCAGGAGAGAGAGAGAGAGTAATGGGAAAAGTGAAGGCTGTGAGAGAGAAGGAGCGGCTGTTTCGAATAAATAATGGCAACGGCTAGTTTTGCATGTGCCACCCCTTTTTGTATAAATCTATACTTATAAATGAGAAGTCAAAAATTCTACGTGACAGTTCCAGATTTGGTGCCATCACATTTTTCTTATACATTTTTCTTATTAAAATACGCTTAATCGTTAGTCTATATTAATTGATTGGATCATAATTATTTGGTTTGGATTTTCGTTAGGCCCATATAGATTTCCATCATTATTTTATTTTATTGTATATATATAATCGTTTGATAAACATTTTAATGGGTTTAGGCTAATTTTTTTTTATTATAACCCATATTTTATATGAAACCCTATATGTCAATTATACAATTTCGTGTATATATATATGTGAGCTTTAGGGTTAAGTCACAATTATCT